TTGCTGTCGAAACTCGATCTAAAGGAATTCCATTTATTTCAAAAGAAGGATTGTCAGAAAGAGTACTTAAACGTTGTCTCGACCCAATTAACATGTACTCAGTTTTAGTCATATTTAAAGTAAGTTTATTTGATATTAACCATTCATTAATGTTTTCCAAGTCTTCGTTAAGATGAAATTGAATAGTGTTTGTATCGCTACCAGAATATGTAAGATTAGTGTCATCTGCATACATTCTGGGATGAGAATTAGATAAACAATTTGGTAAATCATTAATAAATACCAGAAACAGGAGCGGTCCTAGGATCGTTCCTTGAGGAATTCCACACTTAAGACTACATTTTTTTGAAAGTGACCCGTTAACAAAACATTTCTGCCTACGGTCTTCCAAATATGACTTAAACCATTTGTAGGCAACTCCGTGAATTCCATAGTTTCTGAGTTTAGACAACAAGATCTCATGGTTGACCGTATCGAAAGCCTTTTTCAGGTCTAGAAATACCACGGCATTAATATTGCCGCGGTCAATATTGTAAGACCAACTATCAGTGGCCTCAAGTAAAGCCGTAGCCGTTGAATGTAAAGAACGAAACCCCGACTGGTGTTCGGATAGCAAATCATGTTCTAACATGTATGCATAAAGTTGATTATAGATTATTCGTTCAAAGGCCTTAGCCATTACTGAAATCACAGAAATTGGACGGTAGTTATTCATTTCATTCCGTGTACCTTGTTTAAAGATTGGAGTAACTTTGGCACATTTCCAATCTTCAGGAAATGTACCCAATAATAATGAAAGATTAAAAATATTGGTTATGGAACTAGAAATAAGATCAGCACATTCTCGAACAAGTCTGGCTGAGATCTGATCAAGACCGGTTGCTTTTGATTTGCATAGTTTGCTTAACACTGAAAATACTTGATCATTGTTAGTTTGCGTGAATTGAAACCTTTTGTCAGTGTTAATGAGATAATCAGTGTAACTCGTATGATTACTGCTTACTGGAATTTCACTAGCAAGTTTAGGTCCTATTGTCGAAAAATGCTCATTAAATGCATTAGATAAATCTGATGGGTTAGATATAGAATTACCATTCAAATTTAATTCCCTGACAGATGTTCTTTTTGATTTACGCGAGGTCAGGTCATTGACAATCTGCCATGTCTTTCGAGAATTGCCACTGTGCTGCATAAATGCATTTTTATAATAAGACTCTTTAGCGAGTTTAATTTCCTTATTTACAATATTTCGTAATCTTCTAAAATTGTCCCAATCACCAGGGACAGTAGAGTGTATAGCTTTTATTTTGGCTATGTCACGATCATGCATACGTTTTTTTAAATCAGATGTTATCCATGGAGAGTTCTTCAATCGAATACGCTTAGTACGTATTGGAGCATGTTTATCTGCTATAGTTAAAAATTTACTTTTCCATTCAGCCCACATTAGATTAGGGTCTTGAGTGTTAGATAAATTGTAACTCCAGTCTTGAGATGAAATATCACTACGGAAGTTTTCTCGATTAAACTTCTTAAAATTTCTATAGGTAATGTAGTTATTTCCTTTACTAGATACAGTATTTAAAGATAATTTGCGGTAGACATAGATTAGGCTATGGTCACTTATACCGCAATGCGAGACTCCTGAACAAATTACCCTGTCTGGATAGTTAGTGTAAATTAGATCGATCAAGGTGGAAGTTGTTTTGGTAATACGGGTATGCTCATTGATTAACTGCTGAAGACCATATGTATCGGTAATGCTCGACAGCAGATGGGTATTGTTGTCATACTGAGTACTATCGTTAGCTAAATTACAGTTAAAATCACCCATTAAATAAAACTCGATATTTTCTGCATCAAGTCGTCCGATAAGGGACTCAAAAGAAGTAAATAACTCAACAGGAGAATTGGGTGGTCTATACCAGTTGACAACAACAAATGGTTTGGATTGAGGTTTTCGAATTTCAACACATAAATTTTCCAAATTTTTAAACTTTAAATCCTCACGTATTGAAAAATTAATAGTGGTTCTAATATAGAAACAAACACCTCCACCATGTCGGTCTCTATTTCGGCGAAGTATTTCATACCCAGGGATATGTATTTCGCAATCATTAATCGAATTATCAAGTTTAGTTTCGTTGATTGAGAAGATATCTACTGGATAATTGACAAGCAGAATTCTCAGTTCATCTATATGTTTTATCAAACTAGCTATATTTAAAGAAGCTAGTTTGAAACCACGCTTTGCGGGAAAGGGTGGTATCGATTTCGTATTCAAATTGTTGCTATCGGCTATAGTTGTTTCAAAATTGAGATTTGATAAATTATTCGAGGAACTCTCATTAGGCACGGCATTCAAGGAAAATACATTTCAATCCCCCGGTTTAGTTACTATAGTATCTACAAAGTTTTTAAAAAATTTACAATTACCTTCATGATTTAAATGAAGTCCTCCTCTGTTCAAATCAGCGAAGCTAATGTTATTATGTTGAATAAGTGTCCAGCCGTTACTTTGGCAGTGTTTTCTGAGTTGTTTGTTGACGGTTTTAACTTGATCATTCATGTCCCGTCTTGCAACAAGTTCGGAAATGATAACTTTAGTTTCAGAAGTCTTTTCTATTTCACTTGCAAGACTAGCAACCCTCTCGGCAACCTCGGTTGGACTGGAATTTTTCAGATCGTTAGTTCCACAATGGAGAACAATTCGATTTGGTGAACGGTTTATCGTTGGCTTGATATAATGTCTCATATCTTCAGATGTAGCACCCGGAAATGATTTTACTACGACCCGGTTGCCGACCTCTTTGCCAAGCTTTGGTCCTTGAATATTCTTGATCATGGAGTCGCCTATCAGCACTGTCGTATGACGCTTTAGTTGTCGATCCTCCTATATCCCTATTCACCCTCCCCCGTAGAATACATGCAATCTCGTTTTGAGCGTAGGCCCGTAGACCCTAGGCCAGGATCCAATAAGTGGGATTTAATTGCACTGATGAAAATCTGGTCTCAAGGATGAAAAACATGTCTTTCAATTATAGATAGTTATGATGAAATTATGGATTTTATATTTCCTCCCAATTTATCTTTTTTTAATGATGAATTTCCAGTTGATGCCTGGGACATGTTTCTTTCACAGTTAAAGGTCCTTCACTGGTGCAGTCCGGCTTCGTCGGTTGGAACAGATGGTTGGAAAAGATGGTGGAAACGAATGGAAAAGTTGGTCCAAATCCAAGATTGGTATCCATAGAATATACTTAAGCGATGGATGGAACGCACAATTTAAGAAGCGCCAAACATATCTTGCAATAGCCTGATAATACACAGGGGCGTCAGAAGGGGAGCCCCGCGCCCCCACTTTTTAGTTTGGGGGGCCTAAATGTCTTTGCCCCCCCCCCCCCTCCCACTTTTTATTGATATTATTTCAGTTACGCGTGTAGACAAAACAATTTGAGATATTTTATGACATTCTGGTACCTTTAGAACTCTGTAAATCTCCTTCTAAAGTGCAGGAAATGGCATTTCAGAGTCTCTATAGTTTCAAATTTTTTCAGGGGGCCAAGCCCCCAAATCCCCCTAGAATGTCACTAAGTGTGCGCTAGGGCAAACTCTGCGTTAGGGCGAAGTGTGCCCGCCCACTTTTAGAGCCGCTCCGACGCCCCTGATGATTCATTAAAGATTCAATCAGAGGTTTTCCTAGGAATTTATATAAATATCCCTTAATTTTAATGCCCGGGACAAACTGGGAAACATTGTTACGCGAAGATATTTGTCATATTCATTTGTCTTACTAATGTTTCGGTATTTAGCATATTGTCTTACCAGCGTCGGCAAACGGAGAAAGAGTGTTTCATCTGTTTCTAAGTTGGTAGGAAATATTTTTGTTTTCCAGGAAGCAAATTTTGTTTCTGCAATAAAAGCCAATGTTTCCAAATGTGGGAGATAGGGAAACATTTGAGCAAACATTGAAAATCACGAATATTTCCGCGACAATGTTTCTTACGTTTGGCCAAGGGCAAGGCTTTAGTTTAGCGAAATATTTAAATTTGTTCCTTGATCGTGTGAATCGTATGTATATTTATATATTCTCCGTCCTGTTTGATACAGGTGGGTTTTTTCACCTCACACAAATTTGTATTGAATTAAGATGTTAAAGAACTAAACGTTAAAACGGTATTTTGAAACAATAGCCAATGAATTGAGGTGATTTAGCATATATGAGCAAGCAAAATGTACAATGTATTTTAATCAATATTTAATGTGTGTGTATTTATTCGTTAATATCACAAGGTTTGATCTTTATTCCGTGATTTTATTTTGTTGTTTTTACAGGGGCGCCGGAAGCAACATGGAGCGGCGGGGGCAGCCATTTAAAAAGGGCACTTATTCTTGAGCCTTAATTTTTTTTCTTGGAGGGGGGGGGGGCAATGTTCGTTAACATTTTGCTTTATAACGGATACTTCATTACTTGTAGCTAATACAGTTAGACAAATTTCGGCATGGATTGGAACATTTTTATTCGTTGCACGACACTAAAGATTAAAATGTATTGGAAAGCAACATGACAGTTGTCAGTTATTTAGGAAGGCTTTCTTTTTCACTTTTTTTTCATAGGTGGAAACTGATTGGTAACGTTTCTGAGAGGAATTCAGATTCAAATATGAGTTAAATTGTTTAAAAACAGTTTTCAATGTCAATTCATGTGAAAAACAGGCGCACGACGTTCGAAGTGCAGTTCTTGTAAAAAAGGCAATCTGCTGCCCCCGTGCTGCCCCCGCACTGTTTAGGTCGGGGAAACCCCACAGGGAAAATCCATTTTTGCGTTAGCGCGTGCGCAGTGCGAGTTTGGCTGACTTGCGCATGCGTATTTGCTACCAAAACAATGGCGGTTCGAATATTTCGAAGCGGGAAAATAGCGAACTTTGGAGGGATTATTTTCGCTTGGTGAGCAACGGATTCTCTGATAAAGTAAGTTTTTATCTATTGATTCATGTGAGAATTACATTGTTCCACGAGGGGTGCAGCGGAATTGCATCTTTTGGATGCTCATCCTACGACCTATATACAACACAAAGTTAGTGTTGTACGCTAATTATGCTAATAAGCGTTTCCGGTCCAGACGAATGCAATGAAACTAACATCGGTTGTCAATTCGATTGTCACTATAGAAATATGAAATAATGGGCAACTAGGCAGCTTTTAAATCAGAACAAGGCTAAGAATAATTTGTTGAGAATGTCTAACAATGTATTTGCTATTAATGAAAGGGTTTTTCAAATATATTTATTGAGAACATTACATTATATAATTAATATTATATATAATTATATATAATTAATATTATGTATAATTAATATGAACTCAAATGGCATAAGCACAAACGAGACGCGAAGTCCCATGCAAGGTGCAAACCCCGAAGCAGCGAATACGTACATAAATATAAATACACACATACATAAAATACAAATATATAAAAGCCGCTTCCCCCTATTAGTATGCACCATGAACACAACCACCTGAATGCTTGAAATGTTTGAAATTGATTAAGCCAAGTTTTGGATCGATTGACACTTTTCTACATAAATAAATCTGATATATCATAGTGATATTTCTAGAGTTGAGTGTCAATCGATACATTTTATACAATCTATATACTTTGTGATTAAGTAGAACCCGTAATATATCAATACGCGCTACCTAAACACTTTTGCTTAGTACTTTTAAAATAGTCTGAAAATTATTATCCCGTGACAATTGAAAGTTATATCAATGAAAATGCTATGTGTCAGTTTGAAAGTGACAACCGAGTGACAATCGAGCACATGTTCAAACCGTTTTATATTACATACATATTTTCATGTCAAATATATGCACAATCTTTAAGTGGTTTTCGATAACTTACCCTTGCATTTTATTCAGCAATAACCTAGGTCGATAATTAACCAGATAGATGTGTTTTATCCCTTGCATATAGAGCAGGTTTAATCTCTCAGCATACGTCCCTCCCCACATATCACATCTGTTTATAAGCTCATTTATAATATACAGTTCAGTCTGTTGGATTATGTTACATTTCAAATATATTGACCACAACAAGCACAGTATAAAAGCATTATATATGCCAGTGCAATTCAGTAAATATGTTATACTAAATGCTATACGATTTTCGCAAAACTGATATTCTAAAACACTCGGTAATTCAAAGAGGTTAAATATGCTTTTCATTGCCTTTCAGCCGACAACAAACGAACTTTTCAACAAACGACAATCCCCCGGCCCCATGTTCAATGTTGTGTCCCATTTCTCGTCGGGTTTGATGTGTTTTGGTTTAAACAACATTGATTGGGTTGGGGGAAGGGGGAGGGGAGCGGTATTGTTTGTAAAAAACTATAATGATCCACCGTACACGCTAAAACTACAGTACATATGTCCCAACAACTTCTGAAAGTGATTGTACGCATTATGTGTACAATGGGTGTATATTATGTCTTTAGGTTACTTATGCGAGCTTCGAATAATAGATGAGTTACCCTTTGAGTTCGCGAGAAAATAAAGAACAACAGTTAAATGTTCTAATAAGAAAGCCAACTTAACTCATTTACTCTTTTATATAAGATTGTTCATCTGAAAGTTTATTCTTCAAATATTTCAAATATGTTTTACGATGGCTCTCCTTATAAGAAACAGTTTTGTACGAACAACTTGGACCAACAGAAACGTACGAACAGAAGTAACAGCGACGTGCGTACGCTTTATTGTGTTAATCCATGTGTTAATTTATACATGCAGTCAACCAATGCGGTAGCTTTGGCAACAATATTCTGCTCTTAAAATCAGTACTGATAAAAGTTTATTCTTCAAATATTCCACATATGTTTTACGATAACTCTCCTCGTACGAACAATTTTGTACGAACAATTTAGTACGAGCAGAGACGTGCGTACTGTTTAGTACGAACAGAGTCGTGCGTACGCTTTATTGTGTTAATCCATCATGTGTTAATTAATGCATGCAGTCAACCAACGAGGTAGCTTTGGAAACAATATTTTGCTGGCTTTGGGAACATTGGGAAAGATCATGAAGCGACAAGCTTTTGCTTTAAGGCGAGAAATAAATTAAATTTGTTTTAAATTTCCTGCCTGTTTGTGTCTCCGTGCAGTGTTGGCGTCGCACGGAAAGGTCTTAAGCGCTGAATTAAGATCGTACGCGAGACGCACGTGATGTGCGCGTGATTCAAGGGAGCACAGCAGTATTCTTTTCGAGATTTGCGTACCTGTATATGGCTGTAAAATCTGTGAATAGGTGTCTTCTTTGGTTTGCTAATTTGCATATAAACACTGAAACACTGTTTTTAAATACGTGAACAAGCCATATAAACTTTCGTATTAATATTTTCGTATAAATATTGTCACCCTTCGACGTGTCCGCTTTGCAGGCTATTTTCACATGGTCGTCCGCTATACATTGTACCGCATGTAACGGTTTTGTAAATACGCGCGAAACTTACAATAAGAAATAGAGGGGAGTGAAACTGTGGGCACATCCGGTAAAATCTTTCGACAGATGCTGTAGCAAATTGTTAGGCACAGTAACCGTTGCTAGGCACAGGCCACTGCTAGATATAATTATGGGATTATGCAATCTTGGCTTCAGTTCACATGTTTTTAACGTGAGTTGATCCATAGTTAATCCAAACTGTGGTTGATTGTAGTATGCCATATATTTGTCTTTTTTTAATCATATTCCAGTACATTAATATACTAAACAACGGGGTCAAATTTCGACATTTCGTCAAAATTTTGTTATATTTTGTGTTACTTTATAACATTAAAGCCATTTTCA